ACATGCATTTAAACACACGGGGAGCCTACAGACAAGGAGATAACATATGACAAACAAGAAAAGACTCATAAACAAGAAGACATGGATGATAACATAAACTAGACCACACTCAACTACGACAAACTAATAAAAATACTAGAACTTAACATTACCACAATATATCATAAGGCACAACGGATTACAAGGTGCATTAAGCAAAACAAAACAGTCAGATAAGTCAAACTTTATTCAACGCATTCTTTTTGTGAACTGATGAAGACACTTGGATATAGTGATGGGAATTCCGTCTCTTTTTAGAGAACCAGCTCTTTCGGCTCCGCTCACTGAAAAGAGCCGGTCTTTCGGCTCCCAACCGGCTCTTCAGGTTGTTTTGTTGCTTTAATTAATTTATTATCAACACCAATATAAAATTATGCACAAAAGAAATAACTAATGTTAAAAAAACACTGTGGTTTTATTTATATATGTTTATATATAAATATATACCGTGGCCCCTAGAGACAAAGCACGTACAAACTCCAAAACACGTACAAATTCCAAAGCACGTACAAAGCTACCTAGATCACTTAAATTACATAATTGAAAGCATATGTGTATTGTCTGTGTATTTATACACAAACTAAACAGCAGTGACTTTTGTAGGGTCAGTGACGCTGGGCTAGCTGGTATATAATGATGTGCTAGGTGATCACTAGTGACATAGCTACTGTATTGCGGTTTGTGTATCTATACACAAACAATCATATATATTCAAATAATTTAAAAAAAAGTTCATTTACCTGTTACTACCACACACCAAATCCTGTCGTTGGTACTTCCTGGCTTGTGTAGCCACTAGGTAACAAAAGCTCAACACTGCCCCTAACCTGCTATGAGGGGATAGTGCCTGCAACTGAACCTGTGTAAACCATAGTTTTTTTATTTGTTTAACTCTGATACAAGTGCTCCATTGAGTTGGAGCTTGGCACAATCTTGTTAGAGGAGGGCGCTCTTTCACCTCTCACTCTTTTATTCCAGTGGAGCTGTAGGTTGAAAGGGCAGAGCACGTCGTACACCATTGTTGTCTTCTTCAGCGTCAATGTGGAAATCTTTTCACCCTTTGGGTTATTACTGTGTTTGTGGAATCTTCTTGCAATAGCTGGCATGAACCGAAGTGGCTCGACCTTCGACCTAAACTGCTGTCAAGCTGGTCTGATCAGCACCCGGTCTCCCAGTCTGGGAATTCCCCACCTTGGGAGGATTTCAGCATTCACCATGTTATACTCACACATAAGGCCAAGTGTTGGAATTTAATAATCTTTAATACAAATATACCTCATTGTTACGTATCTCCCAACTGCTTAATATTTAGCATCACACACTTGTTTATACTTTATTTCACACGGTTAAGTAAAGTTTTTTTCACAATTCGGCTGATAAATAAATATAATATTTATTCACCTAGATAATCCTACATTATTGATTTTTAAAAGTGATTATTATTATCCAATGTTTGATGATTTGTTCAGTAAATACTACTGATACACATATCAGAGTTTATTTGTAAAACAACACAGGAACAGTGATTACAAGAATGACCACAGTTGTCATTATTTATTGGGTTAAAAAAACTTTTAAAGAGCAAAAGAAGAAGAAGAAGAATCTGTGAGACTGTTTGGCATCATAATATCATGATAATTATATAATGATCTTATATTATAATAATGAATACACTGAACTGTAGGAAGGTCAAATATCTAATATCTAATATAAATTTTTGCATGATATTGGTAAGAAGCCTGGTATTCTTTGTGTTTTACAAAGTGAACTGGACACAAAAGTAATACTGATTTTGATTTTGCTGACTGGTTCTTCTTCTGGGAAGTAACATTGTTATAATCACATAACAACAACAACAACAACAACAATAATAATAATGGCACAAAGTTAATGTAGTCAGGAAAAACAATACAGTGAAGAAATAAACCATCACAGCACCATTTAAACAATTAGCTGTTTCCATTAGATTAATTTTTAGATTCATTTTATAAGCACATAATTTTATAAAAGCTTATAAAAATGTAATCTGCAGTTATATTTACAGCTGGTAAAAAGTCCCCCAAATTTTTCAATCAAAGGTTTTAACATGTTTATTAATCTCATATACAGCTTTATACCTCAGTAATCAAATCTGACTTCTCTCTGCTCTGCCTGGTGTTCATGGACTTCATGTCACTGGCAGAGTGTTTTTTCTCTTCCTTCAAGGCACTCTCCAGCACATTCAGGATGGATTTTCGGACTTCAGCCTTAAAATCTTGTCTTAAGAAGACATACAGCAGTGGATTCAGGCAGCAGTGAAGAACCATCAAATTCGAGGCGACATTCGACACAATTAGAAAGGCAAAGTGAAATGTTGCATTTGGTGCCTTAAATATCACCAGCTGAATAAGATCGATGATGTAATAGGGAGCCAAGCACAGAAAAAAGGCAACAATAATGGAAGTGATAACTTTAAAGGGGCGACTTGATTGGCTGGCCAGGCTGTGGTTTCTCCTGAGACGATGGATGATGACAGCATAACAAGAGACAATGACAGTTAAGGGGACTGCAAATCCGAGAAGGAAGTGGGTGATAACAATGGTCTGAATGACAGTTGGTGTTGCTTTTTCAAAAAACCCGATGTTGGAGCAGTAAGTTGTGTTTTCAGTTTCTTTCTTTGTGTCCATGTAAAAATAATGTTGAATGTTGACAATCAAAGCCAACATCCAAACACACAGACTAACATAGGTTGCACTGCGTACATTTCGGTGGTTCTGAGCCCAGACAGGCCACACCACAGACACACATCTGTCCACACTGATCACCACCATAATGTAGACACTGGCATACAAGTTTAGAATGATTAGAGTGCCGCACAGCTTGCACATGAAATTGCCAAAGGGCCAGTGAAACTGCAAAGCCAGGGATGTTGCTCTAAGGGCTAGAAACACTGCATAGATGAAGTCAGCCACAGCAATGTGGAGGTACCAAACTGTGTTAACAGTTTTCTTCATCCTGAACCCGGTCACCCAGATAACCAGTCCATTCCCGAGCACACCGAGGAGAGAGACCAGGGAGAAAACAACAACAGCCACGGTGGTAAGAGACCAAAACAAGTCAACCCAAGAATCGTTTAGATCAGGTGCAGCAGTTGTATTGATTAGACTGGCCATCTCCATTATTGTTTATCAAGAAACCTGTAATATCAAGAAAACAAAAAGAACAGAAAAGAGACATCAGGGTCTGTATGAATGTATGTAAAGTAATCTTTAATTTTCCTAATCTTTTAGATTTCTGCTTGAGTAGAGCTGAAGTTATGACACAACAGATTTAGCTGTTAAGGCAGATTAAGGTCTAGATTTCACAAGTGATAAGCCAAGAAGGAAATGAAGAAATTTCAAAGTGAATTTAAGAGATGAACTAATCAATTTAAGCAATTTTTAAAATAAGATATTGTATCTCAAGATGAATAAGTTTTACAACAAAGTAATGGGTATAACAGGGACATGCTTGTTGTTAACACAGTAACTCATGAAGTTACTGAAATTATCAATAAAAGGTGCAGGAAAATAAGGAGGTGTTTTTGTCTGACCTTTGATTTATGTAACAATTAGACACAAGGATGAAAAAAAGAACAAAATTTGGTGACAAAAGGTTTGATAAAATCTCTTAAATGATTTTAAATGAAGTAATCTTAAAAAGCAGCACTTATTGTGAAGCAAAATATTTAAGATCATTCAAACTATGCTATTTTAATCTATTCAATGAGTGGTGCATATATGTAAAAATAAATCCATAGATGATGATTTTCATGAACCAGCAGCCTTTTTCAGAAGTTGAAATATTTTGCCACAAAGGCAGATTCCCCTCTGTTCATGTTGCCCAGTGCAATTTCACGTCAGTTGTAATTAAAGACTTTTTATGTTTATGTAATGAGGAGAACTGTAATGACCTTCGTGTTTGGTTTGAATACACCTTAATACAGCAAAGCGTTTTTTACAACAATTAGAAACAGACAGAAAAACATACACACGATCACTGTGTGAGAAACAAGTTATAATATGACAGAAAACAATTACTTCAAGAGTTCTCATCAAAGCAGTGCTTGTTTGCTTAATTTTAATAAATGATCTTATTGTATTATGTAAATACCAGGGTCAGTCTATTCCTGCATAGCAAATATGTGATGATTTTACAAACTTACGAAAGGAAAATATCAAAGATCATTTACCTTTAGGGAAGCTCCCTTGTTGGTTGTTGATGAATGCAATGCAGAAAAATGCCAGGTTAATATATGTGAGGTAAGACGTCACTGCCCACAAAGAAAGAAATTGAGAGAGAGCGAGAGGGAGAGAGAGAGAGAGAGAGAGCAAAAGATGTCTAAAATCTAAAATATAGTGTGCCACCAGTATAGCTCTGTTATCAGCATCCTGTTTTGCAAGCTTGGTCAGCTTTTGTATTTACTCTGAAAGTTGCCATTTTTGCCCTTACATTTATCTCATTTATTCTTTCTCTTGATTCTTAATTTATTTCTGTCTTAACTTTTACAGTGTTCAAAGAATTAAAGGAACACTTTGAAAACACATCAGACCTTAATGGGAAAACAATGTGCCGAGCTTGAAGGACAGACTGCCCGCATAGGCGAGAGGGGAATTTTAAAAAAATATTGTAGGAGGTGACTTTGCCTCTAAACAGGAAAATATGTACAGTCGGGGTCAAAGTGGGTTCAGCAGGTGTGGAAACAATGACTCTCTTCTCTTTTTGCTTCTCTCTATTTGCTTTTTGTTAAAGCAAAAATAATAACCCTACTTTGAAAAAGGAAAACTAGAAAGAACAGATAGTTATTTAAAATGTAGGGGCCGTCACTCACCAAGAGAAATGCAGGACTAAGTGGACAATGGGCAGTGAACAATTTCATTACATTATCTAATGGCAGTCAGGGTGCTGTTACCTTGCCTAGAGGTGTGTGCATTACTTCAAAGATTAGCAGTACCCAGTAGAGGAGGCACCGGAAGCAATGTGAGAGAAGTGGGGCAAGCCTATTAGGCCACCTATTAGGTAATTCAATTACTTATTATTGCCAATGATTGCTCACTAGATCACAAAATATACCACATACTTTTATGAACCACAAAGGTGAGGGACCGCTGTGTTTTCAATAAGTCTTGGACTCTGTCATTCAGCTAGCTGGGTTAACAAGCTACCGCACCAACTGAGCCTTAAGTTAAGACTCATGGCGGGGAAGTGTGTGTTTACATCATTGACGCTTGGTGCTAAAGTGCTACTGTTGTGCACAAATGCTGTCCTCCACTGGCAGTTTATTATCATTGAGAAGAAAGGCAAGACCATCAGACCCTGCGTAGAAAACATTGCATTTGTTCACATCTCCTTTTGAGTTATTACAGGGAGCAACCATCTTCAGTAAACTGGATATGCAGAATACTTACCATCTGGTAAGAGTAAAGGAAGTGGATGAGTGGATGAATACCTCCACCAGGAAGACGAACTCAGCCGGCCTCAACTTTGCCATTTTGAGTATCTGGTGATACCTTTTGGTCTTTCGAATGTCCCCTCTGTGTTTCAGTCCCCCGTGAATAACGTCCTCCAGGACTTCATTAATCGCTTTGTCTTCGTCTACATGCTTATCTTTTTGAAATCAGCCCAAGAACATGAAACCCACGTCAGGGAAGTGTTACAATGTTTGTTGGGGAAAAAACTTTTTGTAAATAGAAAAAAATATGAATTTCACATTGACACAGCTTCCTTCTTGTGCTACAGAGTAGAGAAAGGCAACCTCAAACCAGAGCCTGCAAAAGTGAGGTAGTAGTAGACTTGCCAGTCCATCTAACCACATGCATCTCCAATGTTTCCAGAGTTTTGCTAGCTTGTATCGCTGTTTCATCGGCGATTTCAGCAAAATGGCCTTACTCTTAACACATCTAACCTCTCCAAAAGTCTCTTTTAGTGGTGTGCGGATCGATTTTGAAATATCGATTCTTCCGATACCAGTAATTTATGTTCTAGAATCGATTCTCATATTAAAATATTGATATTTTAGTACTTTGGGGTAAATTTTTAGTTTTTCATTAACAGGAACGCAGTGGAAAGAAACTATATCATTCGAATTGGAAGGAACTACTTCCTCTTACGCCTTTCATAGTCATGTGCGAAATACGGCTGTATAAATGTGTCGCAGCCCCTGGCGTGCGCACTCACAACAATGGCTGAGCGTAAACAGAGTCATGTGTGGACGTATTTTACCTCCACAAACAGTCAAGACGCGGTTTGCGATACATGTGGCAAGACAGTGAGGTGTGGTGGCAACAGCACTAACCTCGTCAAACACCTCAGAGTAAATCATGTCACAGAATATGATGAGCTTATGTTGAGACAAACTGAAGAGGAGGACAGGGACAGGTGCTACCAGGGCGAGACAGACGTCTCTCGCGGAGTCCTTTAGTGCTGCAGGCAGGCAACATGCTCAAATAGTGCACAACTTCAGGTTTTTTATTTCTGTATGATAATTCTGCATTATTAAGCAATGAGAACAAGTAGTCTGATGTCCTGATCATTATGAAGCTATATTATTATATTCTCATTACAATTTCATAATACAATTATATATTGTATTATGAAATACAATAAAACATTAAGTTTTTGTACAGAGTATCGGTATCGGATCAGTATCGTCGATACCACCCTGAATTTTAGTTGGTATCGGATTGGAAAGGAAATCAGTGGTATCGCACATCACTAGTCTCTTTCCAGTGGAATCCTTCAGCGTAGTCAGTGTTTGATCTCCTGAAGAAATGTTTCGCCACCACTCCAGTCCTGTCCCAGCCTGATATTAACTGCTAATTTATCATCGAAGTGGATGCCTCAGACTCTGATATAAGAGCAGTCCTCTCTCAGTAACGGGAAACTGCATCCATGTGCTAATTTCTCCTAGTTGTCTCCTTGATTGCAGTGGGTATGCCAATCGCAACAGAACCCCTGCACCAACTTACACCAAAGGCCAGAAGGTTTGGTTCTCTACTCAGTAATTGGGAGTACACTCTCCCAGTTGGACCATGTGAAATAGAGTCTATGGCCAACCCGGTTTTGTGCATCTGAAGCTGCTTCTCAATATGCAAACTCATAATGCGTTCCATGTATCTCAACTAAAACCTGTCCACTCCACATTCTGGTGAAATCACTGTAAATTGCACTAAACTGTGATTCATTTCCACACTGATCACTAGAATGTAGACCATGACAAATGTGTTCATATAGACCATATTTATGGTGTATCACACTCAGGGGTAGAGATGTTGCAAAGAAGAAGTCAGCTACAGCAAGGTTGAGGCACTAAAATGTATTGACTGTTTTCTTCATCTTGATCGTGGTCACTCAGATATCCACTTGATTCCAGAGCACGCAAGGCAAGAGCCCAGGGAGAAAACAACAATACGGATGTTGGTGAGAGACTGAAACAACTCAGCATACACAGAGCTATTTGGATCAGGTGCAGCAGTTATATTGATTTGACTGAAAGAGTTAATTGCTATATCCATCATAGTCTTGAGACCAGTGAAGATGATATAAAAAAAACAATATAAATGTATGTAAATCTTTAATATTTCTACTGTAATGCTTGCAGAGTAGAGATTTTCTATATGAGCACAGATTTAGGCAGTTGTCTAGGCCTTCATACTGTGGAGCTAAGAAAGAAGCAAAGAAGAGTAAAAATTATCATAAATTAATGACATAAAATACCAAAATTCAGAAAACCCAAATTTTTCACTCTTGAGATGAAAAATAACAATACAGGAGTGTGCTACGAAGTGATTTACATGTGTGGGACATGTGGGGACAGTGTTAAAACAGTGACGTATGATATTACTGAAGTCATCTTTGAGTAAGAAAATAAAAACATGTACACTTTCTCTTTGTTTGTCCTCCTGTACAGCATGTCGGTGTAATTTCACAACATAGACACAAGCATTAAAATGCAAGTATGAAAACAAGTTGATGACCAAAAATTTAGAAAGCCTATTTTGTAAACATTTTAAATATTTTATAAGCACTCATATACCATAATATACAACCTTGATGAGTGTCACTGATGTCTGCAGTTAGATGCTGCCAAAACAATAAAAAAATGTTTGCATATATTTCTGGTTTGGATACAGCTCTTTTTATCACTATTCTGCATAGTTCTTTTTGTTGCCATTGTTTTTGTGTTTTTTTTTCCAAAGGTACCTTTAGCCCTTTTCAAAAACTGATTGTTATTAACTTTCTATGACAAAATTCTAATAACCAATAAAGTATCCTTTATCAGTCTTTATGTAAATTGGTTTATGTATTTCATATGGATATTGTCATCCTTTGATTTTTTATGGTAAATGGTAAATGGCCTGTATTTGTATAGCGCTTTTACTGGTCCCCCCTAGGGACCCCAAAGCGCTTTACAGTCATCCACCCATTCACACACACATTCATACACTGGTGGAGGCAAGCTACAGTTGTAGCCACAGCTGCCCTGGGGCAGACTGACATGTTTTTGTTGTTATGTTTTTATTCCTTTGCGAAAATCTTTTCACTCTTTTTGAAAAAGGGAGTATGTGATCACCCTCAACAACTCATATCCACTCAAAGTTTTCAAAAACTGTGAGAAATTCTCAGCTGCTCTAAAGAGACAGAGACAGAAAAACGATTGTTGTCTTGTCATTAATGTACCATGCAACTTGTTATTAGGGATGGGTACCGGTGTCGGTTCTGACATAAACGGTAGTAACCAGACCAAAAAGCAGCGCACATTTCGGTGCTTTATTTCGGTGCTTTTTTTTCCTGAGCTGTGATACACTTCTAGCCAATCATTTTACGTTTCCGAGGATAGTAGGCGGGCCAGGTACGTACGTTCTTTTAGAGCAGAGCTACAGATTAAAAATGCCCAAGGCGAAGCGGTCAAAAGTCTGGCTGTACTTCACAGCAAAATATGCAAACTCAGCAGCCTGCAACAAGTGCTTTAAGCGTGATACTGTGATACTGTGCAAAGGAGGTAACACCTCAAATCGATGAAACACCTGGCGACGCATAGCGTTTTTTTTAAAAGCCGAGAAATGCGCCGTATTTGATGGCAGCAGCAGCCGTTCTTCTCTGCGTGAGTAGCTTAATGTTGTTCGTGTGTAATTTACGTTGAGTAGGCTAACCACGTTATTACATTAATGCATGTAAGGTGAACTAGCAAACATCATCATAGCTACATGCGGCTGTCTTCTTGTTTGATGGCAGATACTCCCTTCACCCTGGCCAAAAAGGCTAAAATGACCAAAGAAAAAGTGGAAAACAGTTAAACATGAGAGGTTTTTGGACAAAGTTTGTGTTTTTTCCATTGTTTAAGCACTGCTTCCAGCCAAGAGTGATACCATATATGCCCCATAGCTGCAGAAAAGGCTAACATTGTTATCTTTTTACAAAAAACAGCTGAACATGAGAGGTTTTTGGACCAATTTTGTGTTCTCCATTCTTTAAGCACCGGTTTGAGCACCGTTTGAGCACCGGCACCGTTTCAAAAGTACCGATTTGGCACCGGTATCGGATAAAACCTAAACGATACCCATCCCTACTTGTTATAGCGAAAAATTTCCGCATCCTGTTTTGCCATCTTGCTTGAAATTTCTTGTTAACTCTTACGGTCATCATGTTCTTCTTGTGCTTGGTCAGTGTTAAGTTTTGAAAGAAGTTTGGGACCATGAGATATACACCGTGTGGCATTGCTTATTGACAATAACACAGCCTAACAATACCTAATTTCTTCA